GTTGAATTTTCAACTGGAACTTTAAAATTTGACGCAAAATAAGGAAAAACAAAATGAATCTTTGAATTGTGAATGTATCGGCAGAATACCCCTAATTAAAATGTTAATTTCATAAACTTTCCACCCAAAGTCAATGAAGAAAACAAAGTAAAAATGAAAGTATAAAAGTTTGTATAGAGTAGAGTGCCCAATTAGATTATAGCATAGACAAGTTGTTTTTTCGTTCAGTTTTTAACTTTTGGTGTCAAAGAAAACTGAAATTGAGTCCAAATACTCTAATAACGGTAATAAACTCAACCGAACTAGATTCAAACCCCAATAGCTAAAATTTGTTAGAATATAGAGTAAATTACAATCGTAAAACCAAAAATAATTCAATTCGGCGAGGATAAGATAAATCAAACACAAAATGATATGTAGAAAATGGCAGAGAAATGCACACGCATATTCATCAAAAATCAATTATTGTAATACTCCAACAATTACCCACTCCTCTTACCGGTTTCATGTTTCCATATTTACTTATATTACAATAAACATAAAAAAATGTTGCTTCACATGCACTCATGTGGCCCGGTCTTTTATATAAATGGTTTCTTTTTCATTACATTTGTAATTTTAGAAAAACATTCCGATCCGTAGTTAAATTTATTTCTTCAATTTCTTATCCTTTCGATCGTTGGACAAATAACATGATCAATTCTAAGATTATTCACTATATGATTATCATAATTGGCATAATACACATTCAGTTTTGAAAGTCTAGCACAATATAAAATCTTATTAGCTAGTAGTACCTCAAAAGAACCACCTCAAAAAACGAATATTGGATGGTAATAAATGTAAGATGTATATAAACACTTACAAAGAGAGGGTCAAGGCTTAATGGGATGCATGTGGATCAACACCCTAATCACTTAAATAAATAGTATTAAAATTTTGTATTATTAGAGAGAGAAAAGAAACCTAATCCCACAAAAAGTAGAAAAAACTCTTCTGAGATGGTGTTTTATTGGTGATATAAAATATAAATACCGAATTATAAAACATTAATTTAACAAGTAAGTTTTTGCATGCTGACGAATCGTCACATGGGCATGGGATTCGTTATGGCATCACAGACTTGTTGAGTCCAGCTTTTTTTCCCTTACGATCTGCACGCATGTGCCACGTGTGTTTCACGAGAATGATCACTCTAGCTTTAAAAAAGTCTTTAAGTCAACGTAGACCCTCTGTGTCAACAAGAGACTCTCTCACCAATGGGCTTTTGATATTGGGCTTTCAGTTAAAAAGCCCATACATGAGACGATGACGGTATCCATTGAAAGGAACGGCTTTGGTGGTGACACGTCACGATTCTCCCGCCACCACACCAAAGAGCTTTTGTTTTCATCTCCTTCCTTCCTTCCTCGTCTGTGTTCCTGTCTAATCTCCTCTCGCGCACACAGACACCACGAAAATGGCTGCTTGTTTTCGTTCGATAGCTTCTCTTACTCATTCTCCACGAGATGTTTCACGCTCTGGTACTCTTTCGTAACTAAACCCACTAATTTTTTTGCCTGGAATCCCCTCGTGGTTGCATGTTGGTTTTTTTCCTTTCGTTTAATTTTCGATTTGATTGCTGATTCCGAACCTGTAACGAGCAATGATCTTTCGCTAAATCGATTATGTGAAACGAATCGCTCCTTCAGTACGTAATTTGTGATTCTTCTTCCGTGGATGATGGGATTAGTGAGGAATGCGAATCCAATTGAGAAACTTGCTGTGATCATTGAAATGGGTTATGGATAATTGGGGATTAGGGTTCATGTCTGGAGAAAAAAGATTACATCTTGACATAAATCGGTATCAATTAACCCCAAATGTCTTGTTAAAAGCCACACAATTTGATCCCCTTTTCTTTGGCAGGCATTGTCTTATCTTCATGCTCTGTTCTTCCCATCACACACTCCTCCTCCTTCACTGGCTCGCCCGTTATCCTCCCGCGGGTCCAGCCCTCCTCCCGAACAACTCTAAGACCGCGGAAGCTCGTCCCAATCACTATGATGGTAAAGCCGACGCTCCAATTCATCCAAGGGACGGATGAGATGACGATTCCTGATGTCAAGCTGACTCGGTCAAGGGACGGATCTAACGGAATGGCACTCTTCTCTTTCGACCAGCCATCGGTCTTTGACTCTAGTGGTGAGGTCGGGGAGATAACGGGGTTGTACATGATCGACGAGGAAGGTGTGATTCAGTCGACGGATGTGAACGCAAGATTCGTGAATGGGAAACCGGAAGGGATTGTGGCCAAGCACGTGATGCGGACGCCGAAAGAATGGGACAGGTTCATGAGGTTTATGGAACGGTACTCAAACCAGAACGGCTTGCAGTTTGTTAAGAAGCAATGAGTGTGACTTTTCTATGCGCATAAGTGTGTATTTGGTTTACA